CGGATGTCTTTCCCTTAAGGCGTGTCTCTGCCATCAAAGCGGGCGGCCACCTTGACACGAAGGTGTGTCTTTATTGTTACGAGCCGGCCCGCGGCATAACATACGCCGCTATTTAGTTGTTTCTAATTTTCAATAATTCATAATTTGTGAATTCGACAGTACCAACGCTGACACTGAAAATATTTCTTTGAAACACTATAAGTAGCTCGTTAAGGACCATAACCCCCCCCCCTTCCTTCCCTCCCCCCCTCCTCCCCCCCCCCCCCCTACGTTTAAAATCGTTGGCTCTGCTTGTAAACATTTAGAGTGAACACAGCTCACTAAAACCATGTAGGGGTGGGGAGGTAGGGAGAGCGTTTGCAGCTTGTTTTCTAACGGCTCGAAGAAGAGAATTATATATATAGATAGATAGATTTCATTCCCTTTTGATCTAGTTTCGTCCACCTGACATGGTAGGATTGTCTCACGTTTGTCAAGCACACATACGCTATCTTTGGACATTTATTCTTTAATCTTGGAATACTATATTACTAATACTAACCTTAAAATGTTTAGTGCAATATGACTATTTTATACGGCAAACATTTCTTACAATTATTATATAGGCCTATAAACAATATTAAACATAGTAAACAAAACCATAAGACAGTCAACAACAAAAAATCAGATCAATTAAAATCACCCAATACACTATTAAAATTTAGGTGTGAGATATTTTGTCTGAGATATTTTGTCTGAGATCAATTGTCCGTGGTATCATTTGTCTTGATATATTTTGTCCTGGTATCTTTTGTCCGTGAGATCAATTGTCCTTGAGATCATTTGTCCTTGAGATCATTTGTCCTGAGATCATTTGTCTTGAGATCATTTGTCCGTGAGATATTTTGTCTGAGATATTTTGTCTGAGATCATTTGTCCTGAGATCATTTGTCCTGTCACCATTTATATGTGTATATATATATATATATATATATATATATATATATATATATATATATATATATATACATATATATATATATGTATATATATATACATATATATATATACTAGCTGCATCCCGTGCTCCGCCACGGTAAATCTTTTTAAAATATACCAACTTTGGAACAGAACAAAACAAACAAAAACACAACACAAACACAAACAAAACACAACCACAACCACAACACAACCACATTACAACCACAACACAATCACAACACAACCACAACACAACCACAAAACAACCACAACACAACCACAACACACGGTAAATCTTTTTTAAATATACCAAGTTGGGAACAGAACAAAACTAAATACAACACAAACGAACGCAAAGAAAAAACAAAAACAAAAAAACCAACACAACACTCAATATAAACTCAATTTAAATGTAATCATAAAGGCATATTGCTCACAGTCTATCCCGTAGCGCCAAATCGCGCCCTTTCCGAGCGCCGGCGGAAAATTTCGATTTACACCCTCCCACCTCCCTCAAACTTTCGATTTCCACCCTCCCCCTCTCTTGCTACTCCTCTGTTATAAAACCCCTAGCTTTTCCGCAAATAAATTAAAGGCAGTATTTAGAATATCCGTGTTTTACCGACCATATTGCACATTATAAATTCATGCATTTTTTTCAGTACTTTTAAAAATTTACAATAAAGTTTCATGACTAAAACCATTGCGCACCTAATGAACGTGATGGCTTAATATGGTAATGGAGAATAGTTGATTAAAAATTATAATTAGTAAACAGTACATTCAGTGAATAAAATAAATAAAAGATAGCCTTTTATCAATCAATGCTAATAATAATATTCCAACAATAATGTACTCTTACACGTCTGCATAATTTGCATTCACATTTTGCTAATTATATTATTCCAACAATTATTCCGTCTTGCAGATTTTGCATTCACATTTTTAGCGTGAGTTCAATTTATCTTTGAATTACCTCCATTGGCAAAATTACTAAGCAGTTTAATTAGATTTTTCTACCGTACTGTTATTATGTTATTAAAATGTATCCACTTTTTCTAGGAATATAAACGAAAATGATATTTGACATTGATCCTTTTAATATGTTTTAGCAATGTGCGTGTATTTAATATTTTCTTTAAGTTATGCAAAAGAGTAAACACAGTGGCAATTATAAAATAGCTCTATGCCGCTATATAAACAAACCCTACTCTAATACTTATAATAAGACACTGCGGTGCACTGAAAAGCACAGCATGGTGCGAATGTTTACTTTTATGATTCCAAAAGCTATAGCGATGACGGAAGGAAGGAAGGAAGGAAGGAAGGAAGGAAGGACACGCTCAGCCCGCTTATATTATAGATATATATATACATACTAGCTGCATCCCGTGCTCCGCCACGGTAAATCTTTTTAAAATATACCAACTTTGGAACAGAACAAAACAAACAAAAAACACAACACAAACAAAACACAACCACAACCACAACACAACCACATTACAACCACAACACAATCACAACCACAACACAACCACAACACAACCACAAAACAACCACAACACAACCACAACCACAACACAACCACAACACACGGTAAATCTTTTTTAAATGTACCAAGTTGGGAACAGAACAAAACTAAATACAACACAAACGAACGCAAAGAAAAAAAAACGAAAAAACAAACACAACACTCAACATAAACTCAATTTAAATGTAATCATAAAGGCATATTGCTCACAGTCTATCCCGTAGCGCCAATCGCGCCCTTTCCGAGCGCCGGCGGAAAATTTCGATTTACACCCTCCCACCTCCCTCAAACTTTCGATTTCCACCCTCCTCCCCCCCCCCCCCCCCTCTTGCTACGCCTCTGTTATAAAACCCCTAGCTTTTCCGCAAATAAATTAAAGGCAGTGTTTATAATATCCGTGTTTTACCGACCATATTGCACTTTATAAATTCATGCATTTTTTTCAGTACTTTTAAAAATGTACAATAAAGTTTCATGACTAAAACCATTGCGCACCTAATGAACGTGATAATTAATATAATAATGGAGAATAGTTTATTAAAAATTATAATTAGTAAACAGTACATTCAGTGAATAAAATAAATAAAAGATAGCCTTTTATCAATCAATGCTAATTATAATATTCCAACAATAATGCACTCTTACACGTCTGCATAATTTACATTCACATTTTTAGCGTGAGTTGAATTTATTTTTAAAATACCTCCCTTGGCAAAATTACTAAACAGTTTAATTAGATTTTTCTAACCTACAGTTATTATGTTATAAAAATGTATCCACTTTTTCTAGGAATATTAACGAAAACTATATTTGACATTGATCCTTTTAATATGTTTTAGCAATGTGCGTGTATTTAATATTCTCTTTACGTTATGCAAAATTGTACAAACAGTGGAAATTATAAAATAGCTCTATGCCGCTATATAAACAAACCCTACTCTAATACTTATAATAAGACACTGCGGTGCACTGAAAAGCACAGCATGGTGCGTAGTTTACTTTTATAGTCCCAAAATCTATAGCGATGACGGACGGAAGGAAGGAAGGAAGGAAGGACAGACACAGCCCGCTTATATTATAGATATATATATATATATATATATATATATATATATATATATATATATATATATATATATATATATATATCTATAATATAAGCGGGCAAGTAGTGTGTCAGTCCTTCCTTCCGTCATCGCTATAGCTTTTGGAACCATAAAAGTAAACATTCGCACCATGCTGTGCTATCAGTGCACCGCAGTGTCTTATTATAAGTATTAGAGTAGGGTTTGTTTATATAGCGGCATAGAGCTATTTTATAATTGCCACGGTTTTTACTCTTTCGCATAACGTCAAGAAAATATTAAATACACGCAAACTGCTAAAACGTATTAAAAAGATTAATGTCAAATATCATTTTCGTTTAGGCTCCAAGAAAAAGTGGATACATTTTAATAACATAATAACAGCAGGGTAGAAAAATCAAATTAACTTAACTCTTTTCTAATTTTGACAAAGGAGGTAATTTAAAAATACATTAAACTCACGCTAATAAAAAATGTGAATGCAAATATACGTTCGTCATAGAAGGAATTAGTGTTGCAATAATATAATTAGCAAAATGTGAATGCAAATTATTCGGATGTGGAAGAGGAAATTATTGTTAGAAAATTTTAATTAGCATGGATTGATAAAAGGCAATCTATTATTTATTTTATTCACTGAATGTAGGCCCTACTATTTATTACTTATAATTTTTAATCAACTATTCAGCACTATTATAGGCGCGTCATCACGTTCATTAGGTGCGCAATGGTTTTAGTTATGAAACTCTATTGTAAATTTTTAAAATTTAAAGTACTGGAAAAAAAAATGCGTGAATGGATAAAGTGAAATATTGTATATATTATGGATACTGCCTATTATTTATACTGTTTTCTAATTATTATTCTATCTTTCGGGTTTTATAGGAGAGGCGTAGCGAGGGGGGGGGGGGGGGCATATGTCCCCGGGTGCGCCAAAGTGGGTTGGAAAAAATTTGCGAGGGGGGAGGGGAGTGGTGGAAATCGAAAGTTTTAGGGCGGGGGGGGGGGAAGTGGTGCAAATCGAAAGTTTGAGGGGGTGCAAATCACCGGAAAGGACGCGATTTGGCGCTACGGGCTAGACTGTGAGCAATATACCTTTATGATTGCAATCAAATTGTGTTTATGTTATGAGTGTTGTGTTTGTTTTTCCTTTTTTTTTTTTTTTTTTTTTTTTTTTTGCGTTCGTTTGTGTTGTGTTTAGTTTTGATCTGTTCCCAAGTTGGTACATTCAAAAAAGATTTACCGTGGCGGAGCACGGGATGCAGCTAGTATATATATATTCATATATATGTGTGTGTGCATATATATATATATACACATAAATATATACATAAATATACATGTGTGTGTGTAATTATTAATGTATTTGGATGTACATGTGTGTAGAGACCTAATATGACGTTCATATTGTTGACCCTCCCCAGAGAGTGAGAAACAGAAGCCAGGATGCCGTCAGGGAATGGACTAGGTCCTCACGTTAGGGACAATGCCGATGGCACCATCTGTGTGGAGTACGAGCCCAAGAAGGAGGGGCGACACGAGGTGCTCATGTCCTACGATGGCTCGGGGGTGGACGGTAAGTAGGACGCTGCTAGCATACAACACCATCGTGTAGCGTACCTACCATCTTTTAGCATTCACTACCATCTTTTAACATACCTACCCTTGTCTAGCTTTTTTCTCCCGGGGGAGGGGCACTTGAAATTTTCGGGGGGGGGGGGTACAGGTGTATAGATGTCAGGTGATGTCATGTGGGTCAATGTCAGGCCGGCAGATGTCAGGCGGGCAGATGTCAGGCCGGCAGATGTCAGGCCGGCAGATGTCAGGCCGGCAGATGTCAGGCGGGCAGATGTCAGGCCGGCAGATGTCAGGCCGGCAGATGTCAGGCCGGCAGATGTCATGTGGGTCAATGTCAGGCCGGCAGATGTCAGGCCGGCAGATGTCAGGTGGGCAGATGTCAGGCCGGCAGATGTCATGTGGGTCAATGTCAGGCCGGCAGATGTCAGGCCGGCAGATGTCATGTGGGTCAATGTCAGGCCGGCAGATGTCAGGCGGGCAGATGTCAGGCCGGCAGATGTCAGGCCGGCAGATGTCAGGCCGGCAGATGTCAGGCCGGCAGATGTCAGGCGGGCAGATGTCAGGCCGGCAGATGTCAGGCCGGCAGATGTCAGGCCGGCAGATGTCATGTGGGTCAATGTCAGGCCGGCAGATGTCAGGCCGGCAGATGTCAGGTGGGCAGATGTCAGGCCGGCAGATGTCATGTGGGTCAATGTCAGGCCGGCAGATGTCAGGCCGGCAGATGTCATGTGGGTCAATGTCAGGCCGGCAGATGTCAGGCCGGCAGATGTCAGGTGGGCAGATGTCAGGCGGGCAGATGTCAGGCCGGCAGATGTCAGGCCGGCAGATGTCAGGCCGGCAGATGTCATGTGGGTCAATGTCAGGCCGGCAGATGTCAGGCCGGCAGATGTCAGGTGGGCAGATGTCAGGCCGGCAGATGTCATGTGGGTCAATGTCAGGCCGGCAGATGTCAGGCCGGCAGATGTCATGTGGGTCAATGTCAGGCCGGCAGATGTCAGGCGGGCAGATGTCAGGCCGGCAGATGTCAGGCCGGCAGATGTCAGGCCGGCAGATGTCAGGCCGGCAGATGTCAGGCGGGCAGATGTCAGGCCGGCAGATGTCAGGCCGGCAGATGTCAGGCCGGCAGATGTCATGTGGGTCAATGTCAGGCCGGCAGATGTCAGGCCGGCAGATGTCAGGTGGGCAGATGTCAGGCCGGCAGATGTCATGTGGGTCAATGTCAGGCCGGCAGATGTCAGGCCGGCAGATGTCATGTGGGTCAATGTCAGGCCGGCAGATGTCAGGCCGGCAGATGTCAGGTGGGCAGATGTCAGGCCGGCAGATGTCAGGCGGGCAGATGTCAGGCCGGCAGATGTCAGGCCGGCAGATGTCAGGCCGGCAGATGTCATGTGGGTCAATGTCAGGCCGGCAGATGTCAGGCGGGCAGATGTCAGGCCGGCAGATGTCAGGCCGGCAGATGTCAGGCCGGCAGATGTCAGGCGGGCAGATGTCAGGCCGGCAGATGTCAGGCCGGCAGATGTCAGGCCGGCAGATGTCATGTGGGTCAATGTCAGGCCGGCAGATGTCAGGCCGGCAGATGTCAGGTGGGCAGATGTCAGGCCGGCAGATGTCATGTGGGTCAATGTCAGGCCGGCAGATGTCAGGCGGGCAGATGTCAGGCCGGCAGATGTCAGGCCGGCAGATGTCAGGCCGGCAGATGTCAGGCCGGCAGATGTCAGGCCGGCAGATGTCAGGCCGGCAGATGTCAGGCGGGCAGATGTCAGGCCGGCAGATGTCAGGCCGGCAGATGTCAGGCCGGCAGATGTCATGTGGGTCAATGTCAGGCCGGCAGATGTCAGGCCGGCAGATGTCAGGTGGGCAGATGTCAGGCCGGCAGATGTCATGTGGGTCAATGTCAGGCCGGCAGATGTCAGGCCGGCAGATGTCATGTGGGTCAATGTCAGGCCGGCAGATGTCAGGCTGGCAGATGTCAGGTGGGCAGATGTCAGGCCGGCAGATGTCAGGTGATGTCAGGCCGGCAGATGTCAGGCCGGCAGATGTCAGGCCGGCAGATGTCAGGCCGGCAGATGTCAACGAGTAAAAATCCCATATTCAGTTTATGCCAGGTTACAACTTGGCTGACCTCATTCTTAGTGGGGTGGGGGTGGGGGTGGTTGCACTTTGTGACTCGACTTGCACCTCCATCTCTAGCTGGGGGGGTGTGGGGGAGTGGGTGTCGGGTGGGTGGGGGCAGGTACCGGTTGATCTCCCCCCCTCTCCCCCCCCCCCCCCCCGCCATGTTGACGCCTGTTGTTTACATATCCTAACATCACCAGGTTTACGGTGCGTCAACAACACACGTCACAGGGTGCACATTTGATTGGTTTTCACATTGGTGTGGTGTGCACTCTCAGGACCACCCCAGCGTACACACCCACACCACTCCGATCGTGTCTTAATCTAATCCCATTTGTTTATATTTGTGTAGCCATAGAAACCACTCGAGTTATTTATTATGATTTCTTTCACACAAGCTAGAGGTGTGGTAAAATGTTGCCAACTGGTGGCAAACTGTGTGGGATATCTGTAAGGTGTGTCACTGTGGTATCTGTAAGATGTGTGATATCTTAAGATGTGTGGTATCTGTAAGATGTTTGTTATCTGTAAGATATGTGGTATCTGTAAGATGTGTGATATCTGTAAGATGGGTGGTATCTGTAAGATGTGTGGTATCTGTAAGATGTGTGGCATCTGTAAGATGTGTGGTATCTGTAAGATGTGTGTGGTATCTGTAAGATGTATGGTATCTGTAAGATGTGTGGTATCTGTAAGATGTGTGGTATCTGTATGGTGTGGTATCTGTAAGATGTGTGGCATCTGTAAGATGTATGGTATCTGTAAGATGTGTGGTATCTGTAAGATGTGTGGTATCTGTATGGTGTGGTATCTGTAAGATGTGTGGCATCTGTAAGATGTGTGGCATCTGTAAGATGTGTGGTATCTGTAAGATGTGTGGTATCTGTAAGATGTGCGGTATCTGTAAGATGTGTGATATCTTAAGATGGGTGGTATCTGTAAGATGTGTGGCATCTGTAAGATGTGTGGTATCTGTAAGATGTGTGTGGTATCTGTAAGATGTATGGTATCTGTAAGATGTGTGGTATCTGTAAGATGTGTGGTATCTGTATGGTGTGGTATCTGTAAGATGTGTGGCATCTGTAAGATGGGTGGTATCTGTAAGATGTGTGGTATCTGTAAGATGTGTGTGGTATCTGTAAGATGTGTGGCATCTGTAAGATGTGTGGTATCTGTAAGATGTGTGATATCTTAAGATGGGTGGTATCTGTAAGATGTGTGGTATCTGTAAGATGTGTGGTATCTGTAAGATGTGTGGTATCTGTAAGATGTGTGTGATATCTTAAGATGGGTGGTATCTGTAAGATGTGTGGTATCTGTAAGATGTGTGGTATCTGTAAGATGTGTGGTATCTGTAAGATGTGTGGTATCTGTAAGATGTGTGATATCTTAAGATGGGTGGTATCTGTAAGATGTGTGGCATCTGTAAGATGTGTGGTATCTGTAAGATGTGTGTGGTATCTGTAAGATGTATGGTATCTGTAAGATGTGTGGTATCTGTAAGATGTGTGGTATCTGTATGGTGTGGTATCTGTAAGATGTGTGGTATCTGTAAGATGTGTGGCATCTGTAAGATGGGTGGTATCTGTAAGATGTGTGGTATCTGTAAGATGTGTGTGGTATCTGTAAGATGTGTGGCATCTGTAAGATGTGTGGTATCTGTAAGATGTGTGATATCTTAAGATGGGTGGTATCTGTAAGATGTGTGGTATCTGTAAGATGTGTGGTATCTGTAAGATGTGTGGTATCTGTAAGATGTGTGTGATATCTTAAGATGGGTGGTATCTGTAAGATGTGTGTGATATCTTAAGATGGGTGGTATCTGTAAGATGTGTGGTATCTGTAAGATGTGTGGTATCTGTAAGATGTGTGTGATATCTTAAGATGGGTGGTATCTGTAAGATGTGTGGTATCTGTAAGATGTGTGGTATCTGTAAGATGTGTGGTATCTGTAAGATGTGTGGTATCTGTAAGATGTGTGGTATCTGTAAGATGTGTGTGGTATCTGTAAGGTGTGTGGTATCTGTAAGATGTGTGTGATATCTTAAGATGTGTGATATCTTAAGATATGTGGTATCTGTAAGATGTGATTGTTATCTGTAAGATGTGTGGTATCTGTAAGATGTAAAGATGTATGTGGTATCTGTAAGATGTGTGGTATCTGTAAGATGGGTGGTATCTGTAAGATATGTGGTATCTGTAAGATATGTGGTATCTGTAAGATGTGTGGTATCTGTAAGATGTGTGTGGTATCTGTAAGATGTGTGGTATCTGTAAGATGTGTGGTATCTTAAGATGTGTGTGGTATCTGTAAGATGTGTGGTATCTTAAGATGTGTGGTATCTGTAAGATGGGTGGTATCTGTAAGATGTGTGGTAGCTGTAAGATGTGTGTGTTATCTGTAAGATGGGTGGTATCTGTAAGATGTGTGTTATCTGTAAGATGTGCGGTATCTGTAAGATGTGTGGTATCTGTAAGATGTGCGGTATCTGTAAGATGTGTGGTATCTGTAAGATGTGTGGCATCTGTAAGATGTGTGGTATCTGTAAGATGTGTGTGGTATCTGTAAGATGTATGGTATCTGTAAGATGTGTGGTATCTTAAGATGTGTGTGGTATCTGTAAGATGTGTGGTATCTTAAGATGTGTGGTATCTGTAAGATGTGTGATATCTTAAGATGGGTGGTATCTGTAAGATGTGTGGTAGCTGTAAGATGTGTGGTAGCTGTAAGATGTGTGTGTTATCTGTAAGATACGTGAGCTGGTCTGAATTGCAAAGTGTGAACATAATTTAATCATCCTCTTAGTGTCCCTGACCCACGCTTCCCCCCCCCCCCACCCAACACTAGTCAGTAACACTTCTATTTATTACAAACCCCTCCAC